CCTCCCCAACCCCATCGGCATCTATTCCAAATCTCAAAATTCCCAAATTCTATATAAGCAACCCCTAAAGCCCCCTATTGGGTTGCACAGACCACTTTCGCCCTTTTCGGAAACACATTAAATGGCCTGGCCGGGCCCGTGTGCGAAATACGCATCAGTCGGAAAGCGCACGTTAAATCTCCAAAGTAAGTAAGTAAGTACAAGATCATTAACGTTCAAAACGATGGCTAATGCACAGGTACGTTTGATTTTCATCGACTCTGTTCGTGGCGGCAAGCATCTTTACTACAGTGGTCATAAGTATCGTATTAACAAGAAGACTGTTGAGAAGACTTATTGGAAGTGTGTAACCAGCCAGTGCAAGGCCAAACCCATCACCTCCGATGATGTCCTTCAGTCACAAGGACAGGCACACAACCATGTAGAACAGCCCTTCATCATACACGTTGATGCCTTCAAATCGAAACTAGTTCATCGTACCAAGACCGAGGTGACTCCTATACCCAGGATCTACGATGATGAGATCGCCAACCTGAGGAAGAACCATGACGTTGTACCTGATGGTGTGCTGGCTGAGATCCCGACCTTTGCAGCGATGAAGACTATCCTTTACCGCCAGCGTCACAAGACTGTTCCACGCCTGCCTCAAAGTAGACTACACGTCAACTTAGAAGGAGAGTGGACCCGTACTCAAGGAGGAGAGAGATTTATTCATACGGTACCTATGTCAGAAGGCGAGGACCCTATCCTTATCTTCACTACTGACAAGAACCTAGAACTGTTGTGTGAAGCAGACATTGTGTATGCAGATGGCACTTTCTCGTCTTCTCCGAAGCTATTCGACCAAGTGTACACCATTCATGCTGAGTTTCAAGAGCATATGTTCCCTCTTGTATTCTGTCTTCTACCAAACAAGGCAGAGTGTACTTACGTGAGAGCTTTTGAATACATCCAAGAGGCTGCACACAAGGGTGTTCAATCTGTGTTCGCAACTACACATACTAGAGGCTGCTTCTTTCACTTTACCCCGTGTATGTGGCGACGCGTACAGAAGGAAGGACTGGCAACAGAATACACTAGAGTTGAAGAAGTGAAGAAGGTTGTAAGACGAGCTTCTGCCCTTCCCTTGGTGCCACTAGACATGGTTGAAGACGTGTGGGCTGATGCGATTGTGGGCTGATGCGATTGCAGACAGTCCTCAAGGCGTCTATGTTACCTCTACATGGGTAGAAGGATCTTGGAGCAAGGACCTGTGGAATCACTTCGGAAACCAGGGACGCAGAACAAACAACAGCCTTGAAGGATGGCATCATCACCTGAACAAGAGCGCCCAGAAGACTCACCCTAACATCTTCGAGGTAGTGAATCTTCTGAAACGTGAACAATCTCTTACAGAAGTGAGGGTTGAGCAGCTAGGCGCTCACCCAAGAGCACCTGCTCGGAAGAGAAAATACCGAGTGATTGACTCTAGACTCCGTGCCTTGAAAGAGGATCTGTTGAACCAATTGACGACAACAATGGACTACACTGACAATGCATGCAGATCTACTGCACTGGGAATGAACTGAATTATTACATAAATGATAAAATGTATATCTATATACATCTTCAAATACATGCATGATATATGATATGTTATACTATACTTGTTATATATTGACTTTGTTGCCCAGATTAAATAGTGTCCTCATTTCATTGGTGTTTTCTTTGTTATTAACAAGTACCGGGAAGGCGATCATCTGCCATAATAAGAATTTTTGTGATGACCGGGAAGGCGAACGTAATTTCTAACTCTGAGGGATTGATTTTCGCCTTCCCGGCCCATAACCATCCCACCTACTCCACTGTCTTACAATGGGTGTCTCACTGATGGGATGTCTTACTAATGGGTGTCTCACTAATGGGATGTCTTACTAATGGGATGTAACTGCCGTGGGCGCTTCATAGAGCGGGGCGCTTATTACGTCGAATACGGTTGTAGTAATTTAACTTTGTAGACACAGGTAAACTGCACGTTAACTGATCATTAAAACTGACCTTTTACAATTAATATAAATCCTCAACTTTGTGCACACAGACGCATATATAGTACTCAACAGAAATTAGAGAGAAAATGTGATTGAGACGGATTTATGTTGCTTTTAATATCACTCCCGGCATAATTCGGGGATACAAATAATTAATGTTCTTTTGTTGTTTAACGCCATACTCAGCGATATTCCAGCCATATGACAGTGGACTGTAAATAAGCGATTCCCGATCAGACAATCCTGTGATTGATATTATGACCAACGATCCATTCCGTACGGGTACGATGACCAGAAATCTAGTCTCCGAGCCTGTCCATTCGAACCCATGTCTCTGGGGCAACAAAAGAATGGATTATCCTCTTGGCTACAGAGCTACAGATAAGCTGCGTATTGCGTCAAATACGCCCCCCCCCAAAAAAAATAAATAAATAAAATAAATAAAATAAAATAAATAAAAGTAAATAAATAAAAAATGAGTAAAAAAAAAAAAAAAAAAAAAAAAGAAGTTCAAAACCCAATTAACTTTCATACAGAAACACATGCATTAAATGAAAAACTCAAATGTATAAAAACAGCACGCGTAGATACCCAATGAAACTTTTTCAGCATGTGTACAAAGGAGCTAATTTCCGAAACACAATTGCGAGCTAATTTACTTTCCGAGTCAAGCCTATATTTAGAATCGTTAAATACATCTAAACCATTACTATATATTTTTTTTTAAATCCCAAAATGTCTACTCAGTTTGCAAAATCCCAATAGAGTGATGAAAGATGAGTGAAAACATATTGGTTACCAAATGAAAAATGTAATAACCCAATTAAAATAGAAACCTTCGAGTAAAAACTCAATTGCTCAAAAGGTATCTGGAGCTCTGTGGCTCTGGAGCTCTGGAGCTCTGAGTTAGCAGTGACTAACACGATTTCAGTGGTGATGGTACGGCAGTAATGTGTGTACAACAGGATTTTCACTGTATTGACTGATTTCGTCTGCTTCTAATGATTGAAATATCTTGGCTAACGTCTCTACTATAGCAGTGTCCACGTGCTTACGGTGAGGACCCGTGAACGTCCGGGTTAGAACAGGTCTTCACCAACCTATGCGTGTCGCAAAAAGGCAACTAACGGGATCGGGTGGTCAGGCTCGCCGACTTGGTTCATGCAGTCATCGTTTCCTAAATTCGTAGATTGATGCTCATGATGTCAATCACTGGATTGTCTGGTCCAGACCCGATTAATTACAGACCGCCGCCATATAGCTGGAATATTGCTTTGTGCTGCGTTAAAATAACAAACAAACAAACAAACAAACAAACAAACGTTTTGGGTCAAGGGATGTACCGGACGCAAAATCATGCGTCCTGTATTCGCATACAACTTGAAAATGGACGCAAAACAAACACATGGGACGCATGCATGTTTAGGAATGAATGCTGTATTTTCATAATTGGTACTGCTTAAAAATTAATTTCCGTAAGTAATAATTAAAAATGTCAAAACTCAGTTGAGGAATTTCATAGTTTAGTAACGCTCTGTGAGCATGGGCAATGTTATATCACTTGTGGTTGAGTCCTGTCTCTCTAAAGATTGTGGTGTAGAGTGTGCTTCAAAGCATGGCATAAGAACAAAGTTCGTGTATACGTCTGTGCAGACAAACAAACATGAGTAAGTATTGTAATATTATATGATACTACATTTTAAATAGGATTAAAACAAGCAAAGAATTTAACTGCTATATTTGAATTTACTTTATGTTCAATATTTGCCATTTCTCTGAAACCCCCATTCGTCATTATCCTGTTATTATCCTGCTGCCTGCGGCGTCAAACAACACTCGCTCACTCGATCGAGATCCGGGTTGGGTTTGTTCTTTAGCGACCCATACTTGTCGCAAGCGGCGACTAACGGGATCGGATGGTCTGGCTCGTTACATGTCATCGTATCCCATTTGCGTAGATCGATGTTCACGATGTCAATCACTGGATTGTCCTGATTATTTACAGACCGCCATCATATAGCTGGAATATTGCTGAGTGGAAACAATCCAAACCAAATTGCTTGATCGAACAATCAATACCGAGTGGTAAGAACAGGCAAATGGTAAGGCAACGCGGAAGAAGAAGGCATCTAGACAGGTCTTGACGGCGCCATATATATGTGTTAAACGAACAAGGTATCGGAGAGTATTATCTGGGTGTCAGAGTGAGTGAGTATGGTTTTACGCCGCTTTTAGCAATATTCCAGCAATATCACGGCGGGGGACACCAGAAATGGGCTTCACACATATTACCCATGTCGAGAATCGAACCCGGGTCTTCGGCGTGATATAGCGAACGCTTAAACCACTAGGCTACCCGACCGCTCCATGGGTGTAGGAAGTGTTACACTTTCAACACAGTAACCTGAACATTACGGACAGGCCAATCGATAGACTATTTAATTCAATTAAACTTCAAAAGTTACACGTATTTTGAGGACTTTAGATAGAGAGAAATATCGTTTAAATTTTAAATACGAAGGCATAAGCAATAAGCAAGCACTTGGTTGAACCTGTTGTAGATGATCCAGCCTTGACCCTGATGTGGCTTCCTTTATAGGTTAACTATTATATAACAGCATTGAGTTGGAGCAACCACTGACTAGTGTATAGACAGAGACGTACCTTCTAAAACACATTGATAAATTACTAAAGCTGATTTCAACTTTGTATTAAAACATACTTAACAAAATGCTACCCCTTGAACAAAAATCGATTTGTTAAAATACTTACCTGTAACTACAAAACACAAAACAGGTGTAAACAATAACGAGAGTTAGCTCCCTTGGTCAGTCAATCTCGCTTACCTGTTTGATAAATCGTGATTGTTTACAATATTCCGAGCTTAGCAAGCAACATGAATAGAAGGAAACACGGCTATGTTCTTTGCATGTCCTATAACAGTAGTGGGTGTGTAAAACAAACAGTACTTACCGAAACCGGCAAAAAACAAGAGCACAAACACCCCATCGTGTCGCTGAGAAGTCTCTCGTCACATGCTTCTCGTGACCCCGGCTTAGTGACCCGTGCTTATGACCCGGCCCCCTACGAAACGCAATACAGCATCCGATAAGGCCTGTGTTGTTATTGGTACTTGTCACCCTGCTGGGAAATGTCACTGCATGAGACACTGTCCTGATTCAGTGGTTTCGTCGTATACGTCGGACCAGGAACTAAATACCGTCCTGTTTACGTTTGAGCAGCACTGACTGCACGTGACAGTCAGCATAACTTGTTGTTCAGACTACCGTATGTACATAACAGTCGCGTCGACATCTGGCGCATGTCGGACACTGTATATTAGTTGGGTTTTTTTCACTGGAGCATTTGTAAAAGGCTTTATTAATTTCAATACACTGTAATGGCATTACTTATATAGGTTGTAATAAATCGTTCGCTTTCTATCAAACGCTTAGTCAGCAATATTTCAGCTATATGATATTCACAGCGGTCTGTTATGGAGTCGGGCAGAACTAGACTAACGTTATGTCTCTCTGAATGAAAACATGTTTAAATATTGTATTGGTTAATTTCCTTTTAATATATAATATAAAGGAGCACAGATAATTTTTAAAAGAGATCTAGACAAAGTATTGTAGACTGGCTTGTGACTTTGAATGCGAGTTTGAATGCAAGACTTGGCGAGAACGGGTTGGGTGAACACACCTTTTTTCCAAATTCAGGCAGTCTATGTGTCTATTATATACTGAACAAAAACAGTCAGGGATCATGAATAGTTTTGAGGAATTTTTTTGTGTGGTGAGTGAGTCAGTTTGGTTTAACGCCGCTTTTAACACTATTCCAGTTATATCGAGGCGTGTCAGCTTAATGTGGGAAGAAAAGCCCGAATTGATGCAGGTCTCAGACGTTTACCACTTCGGTGAAACCCACGAGCACGGGTATGGTGCTGACAAACGTAGAAACATAATCGGGGCGAACCGGGATTCGAAGCCACAATCATATGCTTCTGGCGTGCCCAAGGGGCGCAACTCTGCATAGCGAATCGCGGCGCCTTAGACGACTTGGCCCCCCGTGCCCCTTTTTTGTAGTGAAGACTAAGCACACAAGTTGATAAAAACATCCCCGCAATATTCACGATGTTGAGAAAGAGAGAGAGAGAGAGAGTCGCCTAAGAACCGCCTCCGTGGTCTGGATGTAGAGCGTCCGCCCGGAGAGCGGAAGGTCGGGGGTTCGATCCCCGGTGGCGTCATACCAAATGAGTTACAAAGATGTTACTTGTTGTTACCTTGCCTGGCGATCGGCATTAAGGGGCTAAAACAAGGACTGGTCGGCCCGGAGTCTGTATACTGTGTCTGGGTTTGGGTATTCATGTTAAACTGCGGCATGGTATCTCAGTGGACTAGCACTCTAAACTCGACATTAGTCCGGACTAGTTCAAGCAGCCACACACACACACACACACACACACACACACACACACACACGTTAAACCCAACTCATTCACTGGATGTGAGAGGAAAGCCGGAAGCCGGAAGTCTTAGACTCTGATGACTTTGGTTACCAGTCCTTGTTTTAGCCCCTTAATGTGAAGCGCCAGACAGGGAAACAACAAGTACCAGTTTTTAACGTCTTTTGGTTTTACGCGGCCGGGGATCGACCCCATTTGTGTGTGTGTGTGTGTGTGTGTGTGTGTGTGCGCGCGCGTGTTATAATGATTAAATAAACAGTCTTTGAAGTTATTACCGTTGATTTATTTATTTAGAAGAATTGACTTCATTATATTTTTCCTCATATGGAGATATTTACGCAGTTTGAAAACCGGTTTTACATTTATACGCCAATAAAGGCGAATACTACTGTAGTTAGTTCTTAAATACGATTTACGTGCCATGTTGTTGCCTGGCAACAAGGTTGTTTGGTACGTATGCATCAAGTCAGAGCAGAAAAGTCTGCCTGTGCACGCGTAAGCAGACCCATTTAAACGTTGAGGAAATATGTCAAGGACAATATCGTGTGCTGCAAACTAAACTCGGTCAATCCCATTCACACAAAGGAACCAAAATATCTTCCCTGGCATTACCACTTCCTCATGTCTGTGCACAGTATTAATTAACAAGCTGCACAGTATTAACAAGCTCTCAACTGTTCACCGCTTCACAAAGTGATCTTAGCGCAACGACGTCGTTAGTCTGTGGTAGGCTGCGTTCACACAGTGCCGATTATGGCTCCCGTCTGAGATCAGACAGTGCTACGTCACGAAGAGTGAAAAAGTCGTATTACTATCCTCAATGATCTGGAATGTCATATCATTGTCTGAACGCAGTCGTATACATTCGTAACACAGTCCTACGGATCGGGAAAGGTCCAGAGAGGTCGGCCAAGCACTCCCGACAGTATTGTGCGTCCCGCAAAACATTCGGGAAACTCAGCCGATTTTGTCTAGTCGGATTACAATCGCAACTATGTCGTGACAGATTCTGGAGAATCGGAACGCTGTCGGGACAGATTCGGTCTTTTTATACCATGCGGAAGATACAAATCGAATCAGATTCGGATTGAGAACGGGAGGATCGGGACGAATTCAGCTAGAAACGACTGAATCGGGACGCTTCCTGAACAATATCTGATTGTTGTCGTGATAAAATAAATGTTTTTACAAATTCGTAAATTTCCCGCCACAAATCGCATGATCTTGATAAGACTTTTGACAAATTATAATCGGGAATGGTCCTATCAAGGACGGCAGTAAAAATCCTGAATGTGTGACTGAGCCCTTACAAGTTTTTGTGTTACGATCACCTAAGCGCTACGATCGCTTTGTGGAACGGACCCCTGAACTGGGTGGGTTGTAAAACTCGACGTGACTGTTTGTTGTTGTTTTACACGGCACTCAGCAATATTCCAGCTGTATGACGGCGGTCTGTGAATAATCGAGTCTGAATCAGACAATCCAATGATTGATGCCATGAGCATCAATCTACGCAATTGGCATACGATAACGTGCATCAACCAAGTCACCGAGCCTGACCACCCGATCCCGTTTGTCGCCTCTTACGACAAGCATAGCCGCCCCGCACGGCAAGCATGGGTAGCTGAAGACTTATTCTGACCCGGATCTTCACGGGGCCAACATGACTGTAGCTTTGCCTCCGGGCAGTATTTGTGATAGATGGATCCCAAATATTCATGTTGTCGTAAGAGCCGAATATTGAGAATTTGGTGGTAACAATGTTTGACTTCGACATAGCGTGTCATCACATCTGCATTTATCTTTGCTCATGGTGTCAACCATATGTAAGCCTGGTCGGGGGTCGTTTTTAATCGGCCTCCGTGATATAGCTGGTATATCGCTGCCGGACTTGAGACTTCAATTGCCTAGACCAACATCTTGTCTCTGTAATGAACATATTTTACAGAGAATTTTTTTTTATCTTAATAAAATTTAATAAAAAGGAGCCCATCTCTTAAATTAATCTCTTCATTACACTGCAGTAATGTAGACTTGCCCACTATTATAGACGTGCATGAACTGGATACATTTGTTTCAAGGTCTGTTCTTCGCTCGTCACGCCGAAGACCCGGGTTCGACTCCGAGATGGGTACAATGTGTGAAACCCATTTCTGGTGTCCCCCGCCGTGATATTGCTAGAATATTGCTAAAAGCAGCGTAAAACCATATTCACTCACTCACTAAGGGTCTGTATGACATAAACTATCAACTGTCCTGCCCTGGTCAGTGGGTGTATTTCTGTTGTATTTCCTTCCTAACAGTAGTTCAGGAGAACGTCTGACTGAATTTGTTCAATTCGCTGTGCAGGGTTGCATTCCTTGGATGTGCCAGGATTTGCAGATCATATATTCAAATCCCAAATTCGCCCTGATTATGATCCTTGGGTTGTCCCAAACATAGCCTGATGTGGGTTCTGTGACATGAGGGGGATGAGGTGAAATGTGTTTTAACTTCACATTCAAAATTATTGCACTTGCACAGGAACGTGCATACAATTCCCTACTGTGTATGCTTGAACAAGTCCAGACTAATGCCAGTTTAATAGTCCTAGGCACCTGAGATACCATACCACAGTTTAACATGGATACCACACTCAGAGTTAGTATACTGACTCCGAGACGACCAACCGGTCTTTGTTTTATCCACTTAATGCCAAGCGCTAGACTGGGTAACAACAAGTGCCATCCTTTAATGTATTTTGGTATGACGTGGATGGGATTGAACCATCGACCTTCCACTCACAGGGTAACATGCTCTATCCACATAGGCTATGTTGGTGATCATCTCCCATGTTGAGGTTACACAATGAAATGAATGAAATATCAAACCCAACCTTCTGAAGGGGGGCTTCAGAACATCAATTTTATTTCAGGTCATCACTCCAAATAGATGCTGAAAGATGTAAACAGGTGAGGTGAGGTGAAATTCGGTTTAACATCGCGTCCAAGATTATTGCACTTATCGGTATATGGCAACGTTCATGGACGTGTGTGAGTGTGTGTGCATCTTCCCGAGACGAGAGTTAACTGACTTTAAAAGTCCAGTTTCCATCCTTGCCGAACTAGGCTGGAATTACTGGGCTCGATCGTAGCGCCACCAGTGGCTATTACCAGTTATGTCCCCTCTAAGCCTCGCCTATGGACCAATCAGATCCACCTCTCGTATCACTTGCGTTTGCTTCACACAAAATGGTGGCGCCCGGTCAGGACGATCTGATCAATAATCAAGATATATATTGTGATAAAACGTGTCTTACATCGCGAAATGCATTAAATCACGTGAGCACCTTGATTATAAACATGAAAAGATTTGGAAAATATCTGCTGACGAGTTGGTGGTGCACGTGCTTTGCAAATCCTGCAATCGACCGAAATCTGCAGGACAGTTAACGAACCGGATTTCTATTTCGCTGCGCGATTTTGATTGGACTATGCATAGACTCGTTAGTCCAGCCAAAATATAACTCCATAATACCAGCCTAGTTCGGCAAGGGTGGAAACTGGACTTTATAGTCAGTTAACTCTCTTGCCTCGGGAAGATGGGGTGTGTGGATGCTTGTAATAGTCCGGATCGATGCCGATTTAATAATACTAGCTCACTGAGATACCACGCCACAGTTTAACATGAACACCCCAATCAGACACAGTATATTGACTCCCAGCCAAACAGTCCTTGTTTCAGCTCCTTAATGCCAAGTGCCAGACAGGGTAACAACAAGTACCACCTTTTAACATCTTTTGGTATGGCGCGGACGGGGA